TGGGTTAAGGAGAAAAAATTTAAGATGCAAATTGCATGTCCCAATAGTAAAAAAATAAAATAAAATAAAAAATGGTTATGACACGAACACTTGTAGACTAGTACTTGAATTTGAAGATGAGATATAGTTTAATGTTCCTGTTGTAAAGCATCCATGTCTTCTTCCAAACCTTTGCTGAGCAACTCTCCTGTCAGATTTATTGCATGGGAAACGAACCAAGCAATAAAGAACAGAAGTAGTTAAAGACATTCTATTTGAACCTGGAAACCAGTGTGGAATGGACAATTAATAGCTCCCCCCCCCCCCCAGCAGTCACAGTAGCTCTAGTGGTTCTTTCTGTGATATATGTAATGAGACACATGTCAAATCATAGTTCTTGGCCTCCATAGATTTTTAAATCATGCTGTGATGTCCCGTCAGTATTCTGCAGAGTTATTGGTGGTCCTGCTGTTTTCTATCTGGATATCAGACCCATTTTCCCAGCAGTTTCAGATCTACACATCTTATTAAAAACACTGGGGTGTGGGGTTCTTTCCTTCCCTTTTTAAAGCATTTACATTGTGCACCAAACACACACCACAGTCTAAAAATTTCTGCTAAATTAAATGTTTCCTGTGAGAAAAGGTAGATGAATTAAGCAGCTACGAGAGGCTCTAATTTTTTTTTTTTTTTACATTCTGATGCTCAGTTCATAGATCGAAAAATAAGTCCTGAGATTATAGATACTCTAACTGAAGCACTCTCTCCTAGAGATAAGCTAGCAGCCAACCAGAGTTATGCCTGTCTAGCAATGGGAAATGCCATTAAAAGTATGTATTTCCAAGCTGGGTTTGAAGGTCACATATTGTCAAGCCCTGTAATCGTCAGGCATAGTATTCCAAAGTGAAGTGACTATGACCTGTGAGGAATGGAACGAATGCAAAATATAGCTGTGATTCTCAGGGCTTTGACCTTCCACAGCAGATCAGACTTCAAAAGCAAGGTCCACACACACACACACAGACACACATACCCACAGAGTGAGGTTCAGAGGTTTAAAATCTTCTAAACGTTGCCTCTTGGAGTTTGCCCCCTGGGCCTGTTCTGAATTTCTTCTGATGTTTTTCAGGGGCTCAAAGATGTGTAAAGTACACTTTGCGATTCCCCAATTTCCAGGAGAAGGTAAATAATTATGGTTCGGAGGATTTCTCTGCTTTTGCTTAATAGAAAAAAGATTTATGAACAAATAAACTGTCACAGAAAGAGCTTTCTTCTGCTTCACTCACCATTTTGCTCAGAACACATCCTAAGCATATTGCTTGCAGGGAAGGGGGGACCCTAACATTTAAGTTGATAGAGCAAGTTTCTTCCCTAAAACATAATGCATGGGGGAAAGAGTGAACTGTCGTGATTCCTTAGTCTGGCTAGTGAATTTTAGCGAAGGGCAAGCTAATGAACCTGCCAGCTAATTCAAAAACCCTGTCATGAAAGTAAGAATATTTTTTAAAAAAACATTTTAACATCCAGTCCTAATAAAAAAATACAACAATTACTATGTTTATTGCTTCACTATGGCTTATTGTACAAAGACCTAAGTTTGCATTCAATAGCTCTTGCTCGTCTAGAGATAGGCCACCACTGGAAGTATTAAATGCAGTTCAGGGACGGTAGTCCAAAATCTGGCCTCTTGCCCTGGTTGAAAAACTTACACAAAGACATAAGCTAATGAGGGATGAACGCAGGAGAGACAAGTTTGCAGATATGTGGGACCCCTTCTTGCATTATGTTATTGTGGGCAATTTGTTTGGTTTTTTTATTATATATGTTGTGTTCTCATTTCGTATTTTTATGTTGCGAACCAACCTGTGATCTTTGGGTGAAAATTTAATAAATAAGTAAGTAAAAATAAGTGGCTGGTCAGAGAGGTGTGATACAAAAATTCCCTCTCCAGAATATTTTGTATGGTTGTTTGTTAGATTTATTGCTGAGATACCTCCTTGGCTAAATAGTCCCTAGTGGTGCTTGCTAAATGGATGTATTTAGTGTGTTTCTGAATTTTCTTTTTTAACAAGTAGTATATTGTTGTGCATTGTATTGTTATGGTTATATTAAAGTCCTTTTGCATAATTAGGTATTGTATGCTGGGGGAACCCTATTTAATTCACCTCATTTTAAAGCAGTGCATACTTCAACTGGCCATTTTGCCTCATGAACTTCCTAACTCACAAAACAGTTTACATAAATAAATAAATAACTCCTACTTCACCCAATAGCTTTCCTAGCCTATTGGTCTTTTCATCGTTTAGTAAATTTATTGCACACTGAAGTATATTCGACAGATTCCCCCAGAGACTGTTCATAAAATCTCACTGCTTTGCAACACGATCAATTAACAATCCAGAACTCACGTTTCGCTTTGTCTATGCCCTGGAAATTTTTCACGTGAGGATGACATCTCTAAAGCACATCTGTTTGATAATTTTCTTTTTAAATCCATAGAGAAAATCCACACAGAATAAGAAATAAGGGGAAATAAAATATGCAGTAAATTAGCTTGTAAATAATACAGTAGCTGCTAATTTTTCCCTGTGAGTGTGAAGCAAGGTTATGAGCAGAATCCAACAAATTAAACCTATGGAGATCAATAGACTTTACCTAGGGCAGGGGTGGCTAACCTCCAGCCCACAGGTCACATCTAGCTCCAATAGATTTTTGTCTCTATCCCCCCTCGCTGTAAGACCCTCCTCTCCAATTAAAAAGTTTTAATCACACCTAATTCTGTTGGGTTGCAGTTGAAAATAGAGCACTAAAACAAAAGGAAGCAAACCCTCAAGACCACACTGAAAGAATGCCTTTATTAACAGTCCCAATGAAAAAGTAAAATGTTCAACACATCAGTGACAACCTTCACTGGTGGCACAAAAGTTTCCCTTTCAAGGCAACATGTCTGACATGCCCCGAGGAAGGCTGCCATCAACCAAAATCCATTGTACACGTTATTTTATAATTATAGCTATTATCAGTGCTATTTTTCTAGAAAAAGAGGTGCAGGATTTCACCATGAACACCTCCCTTGTTCTCTTATAATGGCAACAGTGCCCACCTGAGAGGTGCCAGAACCTCTCTCTCTCTCTCTATATATATATAAATAATGTATGTATGTACCGTATTTTTCCGTCTATAAGACGCCCCCATGTATAAGACGCCCCCTAATTTTTGACATTACTTTTTAGGGGGGGAAACCTAGTCTTATACATGGAAAAATACGGTATGTTTATTTATTTTTCTGTATTATTTTTGCTTCCTCTTAATATTAGGCCACCTTCTGTTTTTCAATGTACTTTCAGGATTTGGTGTTGTTTTTAAATGGGTACATTTATATCCCACATTTATATACCACCTTACTTCCATCATGTGGTTCTCTTTTGCCTAAGACATGACATTTTTTTTGAATGGAAACTCACAGAGACACAGTAAAGGATCTCTACATTGGTTTCCAGCAGGGATGGGGAACCTGTGATTCCCCAGATGTTGCTGGGACTCCAATTGCCACCAGCCCCATCCAGCATAGCTGATGGTCAGGAATTATGGGAGTTGTAGTCCAAAAATGTCTGGAGGGGTTCACTGGTCCCTCCCCCATTGTTTCCAGTATACTTCAGCACAATCCTGGAATTCATGCTATTGTGTCTCTGTGTTGAGGATCATGTAAATGTTTTGCTATGGGTTTCTTTTTGTTTGTTTGCTTGTGAAAGCTCAAAAAATGTCATGGCAGATTGTTTAATGGTCAATTGCATGCAGTACTTTACTGTTTCTGTCCAAGTAGCCTTTAAATTATACATATTGCAGCAAGATGTCTGGAGTTTTTTCTCCTTGTTCGTTGAGTATTTCCTTTTGTGCTGGGTTTCAACAGTGGTATGACTCACTAGGAATTATATATTAGTTGAAGGGGCTTAGACCCCTTTGGAATGTACATTCCAGAATATTACAGACCATAGCAGAATATGAATCTTTCTATGTTGCCTTGTGCCCTTCCTAGCTTTAATTGTGTTGACACTTACAGAGCTAAACTTAAATGTGATAAGAGGAGCACATTCATTCTGCTTCTTCCTCTGTCTTATTCAAATGCATATGAGGACAATTATCTGTTGACAACACTGATGAATAACAGTGCTCTTTTACTTGACTTGTCACATTGATCACCAGCTACTGATACAATTAATAAAGCATTGCTGTCCGCATAGCATATTAATAATTAGGCTGAATTGGAGACAACAAGACCAATGCATCCAGTGCACTTAATGTTTCATCTTTTACACCCTGCCAGTTCCCAAGATAAAATAAAAATCTCCAACACAGCTCTCCTCCCAGCCTCCAGATCACAATAGGCTCCTGACCTTCTCAGCTAGAGCAAAAGCTGGGTGAACATTTCTTACTGGGTGTGTGTGAAATGCATTTGTCAAATCCAAATGGATGCTTACAAAAAAAAGAACTGGGCATGGCCAGTGAGATCTATGACTCCTCCCTCCTTTTGAATCACAGGTGGGGATTGGGAGAAATTTGACTGGCTTGCCATTTTAATGTGAAACTACCTAATTTACACTTTCTGAAACAATATGCAAACTGAAACTCAGCTGTCCTTCGAAATCCAGACTTCTGCAAAGTTTGCAATGCAGTTCTTTGACCAAGTAATGTGGACAAAAATGCATACAGTGGTACCTCGGGTTACAGACACTTCAGGTTACATACACTTCAGGTTACCGACTCCGCTAACCCAGAAATAGTGCCTCGGGTTAAGAACTTTGCTTCAGGGTCAGAACAGAAATTGTGCGGTGGCGGCGGGAGACCCCATTAGCTAAAGTGGTACCTCAGGTTAAGAACAGTTTCAGGTTAAGAACTGACCTCCAGAATGAAATAAGTTCTTAACCAGAGGTACCACTGTAATAACAGAGTCATAGTACTGTAGAGCTGGAAGGGGTCACAAGGGTCATCTAGTCCAAACCCTTACAATGCAGAAAATTATTTTGCCCAGGTTAGGGCTCAAACTCATGACCCTGAGATTGAGAGTCTCATGCTCTCCTGACTGAGCTATACCAGCATACAGAACTCCATTGCATTAGGGGAAATGTGCATAAAATTGCTGGTGAATCTCCATAAAGATTTATTTATTTTTAATGTGAAATGATTCAGATTTGGAGAACAGCTTAAGACTGGGGAAGTGATTCTTTTATTAAAACAAACCAAGATTTTATTAAATATTTTTTGTAAGATAAAAGCAACTAATCTAAATAAAGACAAAAACAGAGAAAGAAACTGAAATAGATAGATTCGCTCAGTCCCAAGTCCACAGACCCCTGTGTAATATCATTAACTGCTTTTGAAAGTTCCCTCCATTTCAAAAGTTGTTTGCTATTGGCTTAGAGAACTGTTGTCCAAGACATACAAACCCAAAGACCCCCTAGGGCACATGGAACTGATTAAGCCTATATTTTCCTCATCCTTTCCTCTTGCTCTTCCTGTTTTTCATTCATACAGGATAAGATTTCATTACCAGTTTGATCAATTCAATCAGGAATTGTTAAGATGAAAATGTCTTTCTGATTTTACAGGAATGTTTCTTAGTGTTAATGAAAACATCAAGTTATAAACAGCCTCACCTGTGTGACAGACCAAAGACTGAATTGAACTCACTCTGTGATTACAACTAAAAACCTGGATATTCACAGCAAACTTGAAATCCTATTAAATGAATTAATTGACATGGCGGGAAAGAAAATGTGAGCTTTCAGACAATGCGTGTCATTGGCAATGGGTTTGTATGCCTTATGGCTTTATTCATTTGTTTGAATTGTGTCTATACTGTCTTTCCCAAATTCAAGATTGTTTATATACTGCATATGTGCAATTAGTGAGCTCCCTCCCCCCTCCTTTTAGAAAGAAAGGTGCCAGTACTCACCATGAAGCTGTTAAAGCAAGTGCCACACTTTTAACATTCGAAAAAGGAAAGGTGCCTTGAGTAGCCCTAGGGAAAAAAGCACTTTGTGCAATAAAAGAATATACAGTGGTACCTCGGGTTAAGTACTTAATTCGTTCCGGAGGTCCGTACTTAACCTGAAACTGTTCTTAACCTGAAGCACCACTTTAGCTAATGGGGCCTCCTGCTGCTGCTGCGCCGCCAGAGCACGATTTCTGTTCTCATCCTGAAGCAAAGTTCTTAACTTGAAGCACTATTTCTAGGTTAGGGGAGTGTGTAACCTGAAGCGTATGTAACCTGAAGCGTATGTAACCCGAGGTACCACTGTAATGGTATCCAAGACAGTAAACAATGTAAATGCTGTAGTTGAACATCAAAGTCAGCAGCTCCCCCCACCCCTCACAAAAAGAAGTGATTCAAGATTACTTTCCCATTGAGTAAAGAGGGTAGTCATTATGAATTGTGGTGCTAAGAGCTATCAGTATGCTGATGACACTCAGCTCCATTTTTCCATAGGATCTGAATCAGAAGTCATGGTAGTCCTGAACTGGTGCCTGCATGCAGTGATGGGATAGATGAGGGAAAATAAGCTGATCTTGTATCCTGGCGAGATTGAAGCACTGTGGGCGAGTGTCCAGAAACCCTGTTCTGGACAGCGTTGCGCTCCCCCTGAAGGAGCAGGTTTGGAGTGCTTGTGGATCTAGCCCTGTCCCTGGAGGCCCAGGGAGCTAGAACGACCTTTTACTAGTTTCCACAGGTACAACAGCTAGGGCTGTTCTTAGACCAGACGATCTTGAGCACAGTAGTTCAGGAATTGGTGACTTCACTGCAATGCACTCAATGTGGGGCTTCCCTTGTGCTTGACCCAGAAGCTGCAGTTAGTGCAGAATGCTGCAGTATTGTCGCTGGCAGGAAGGAGACCTGATCAACATACAACACCTCTGTTCAGAGATACAACACCTCTGTTCAGACCAAGTTCAAGGTGCTACTATTAGTAAATAAAACCCTTAATGGCTTGAGACCAGTTTTCTCCAGAAAGTGGGAGAAGCAACAAGAGGAACAGCCATTTTAGATCTGGTCCTAACCAATGTTGAGGACCTGGTTAGTGGGGTAGAAGTGGAAGGATCATTAGGCGCGAGTGATCATGCTCTTCTGAAGTTTACTATACAGCGGAAAGGAGCAGCCAAGCATACTAGGACTCAATTTCTTGACTTTAAGAAAGCCGACTTCATAAAACTTAGGGAAGTGCTGGGTGAAATCCCATGGACAGTAATACTAAAAGGAAAGGGAGTTCATGATGGCTGGGAGTTGTTAAGAGGGAGATAGTAAAAGCACAACTTCAGGCAATACCAATGAGACGGAAACATGGAAGGTGCCTAAAGAAGCCAGGGTGGCTATCTAAAGAACTTTTAACTGAGTTAAGATTAAAAAGGATGTGTACAAAAATGGAAAAGGGGGAAACCACCAAAGAGGAATTCAAACAAATAGCCAGCACGTGTAGACACAAAGTCAGAAAAGCTAAAGCACAGAATGAACTCAGGCTTGCTAGAGAGGTTAAAAGCAACAAAAAAGGCTTTTATGGGTATGTCCGTAGCAAAAGGAAGAACAAAGAAACAGTGGGGTCACTCAGAGGAGAAGATGGTGAAATGCAAACAGGGGACACAGAAAGAGCTGAACTCCTCAATGCCTTCTTTGCCTCAGTCTTCTCCGATAAAGAAAACAATGCCCGACCTGAAGAATTTGGAGCAAATGATTCAGCAAAGGAAACACAGCCCAGAATAACTAAGGAGATAGTACAAGAATACTTGGCTAGTTTAGATGTATTCAAGTCTCCAGGGCCAGATGAACTGCATCCAAGAGTATTAAAAGAACTGGCAGATGTGATCTCAGAACCACTGGCAGTCATCTTTGAGAATTCCTGGAGAACAGGCGAAGTCCCGGCAGACTGGAGGAGGGCAAATGTTGTCCCTATTTTCAAAAAGGGAAAAGAGAGGACCCAAATAATTACCGCCCAGTCAGTCTGACATCAATACCAGGGAAGATTCTGGAGCAGATCATTAAGCAAACAGTCTGTGAGCACCTAGAAAGGAATGCTGTGATCACCAATAGTCAGCATGGATTTCTGAAAAATAAGTCATGTCAGACTAACCTGATCTCGTTTTTGACAGAATTACAAGCCTGGTAGATGAAGGGAACGCAGTGGATGTAGCCTACCTTGATTTCAGCAAGGCATTTGACAAGGTGCCTCATGATATTCTTGTAAAGAAGCTGGTAAAATGTGGTCTTGACTATGCTACCACTCAGTGGATTTGTAACTGGCTGACTGACCGAACCCAAAGGGTGCTCATCAATGGTTCCTCTTCATCCTGGAGAAGAGTGACTAGTGGGGTGCCACAGGGTTCTGTCTTGGGCCCGGTCTTATTCAACATCTTTATCAACGACTTGGATGATGGACTCAAGGGCATCCTGATCAAATTTGCAGATGACACCAAACTGGGAGGGGTGGCTAACACCCCAGAGGACAGGATCACACTTCAAAACGACCTTGACAGATTAGAGAACTGGGCCAAAACAAACAAGATGCATTTTAACAGGGAGAAATGTAAAGTATTGCACTTGGGCAAAAAAAATGAGAGGCACAAATACAAGATGGGGGACACCTGGCTTGAGAGCAGTACATGTGAAAAGGATCTAGGAGTCTTGGTTGACCACAAACTTGACATGAGCCAACAGTGTGACGCAGCAGCTAAAAAAAGCCAATGTAATTCTGGGCTGCATCAATAGGAGTATAGCATCTAGATCAAGGGAAGTAATAGTGCCACTGTATTCTGCTCTGGTCAGACCTCACCTGGAGTACTGTGTCCAGTTCTGGGCACCACAGTTCAAGAAGGACATTGACAAACTGGAACGTGTCCAGAGGAGGGCAACCAAAATGGTCAAAGGCCTGGAAACGATGCCTTATGAGGAACGGCTGAGAGAGCTGGGCATGTTTAGCCTGGAGAAGAGGAGGTTAAGGGGTGATATGATAGCCATGTTCAAATATATAAAAGGATGTCACATAGAGGAGGGAGAAAGGTTGTTTTCTGCTGCTCCAGAGAAGCGGACACGGAGCAATGGATCCAAACTACAAGAAAGAAGATTCCACCTAAACATTAGGAAGAACTTCCTGACAGTAAGAGCTGTTCGACAGTGGAATTTGCTGCCAAGGAGTGTGATGGAGTCTCTTTCTTTGGAGGTCTTTAAGCAGAGGCTTGACAACCATATGTCAGGAGTGCTCTGATGGTGTTTCCTGCTTGGCAGGGGGTTGGACTCGATGGCCCTTGTGGTCTCTTCCAACTCTATGATTCTATGAGTCTATGATTCTACTTGCCTTATCCCATGTATAGTTGCTTATCCACTTCAAATCTGTGGAACTGGCACTGTTACAGCTGCCGCATAATACTTGTTCTGGTCTAGTGGTGCAGCACATTTTTCATACCCCCTGCAGTGGTGGCTGCTGGGCTCTGTTCTCCTAAGTTGCCCTACAGGTCAAACATTAATTAAGAGTTCTATCTCTGCGTCATAGGCTTGTTCTCTCCCAACATATTAACTGCATTGATTTCACCCTGTAATTGATTTCAAATGTAGAAACCTTTACATTTTTGTTGTGAAACAACATGGTTACCTTGTTCTGATCACATCTGTTCTTACATTCGCCTTACAAATTAGTCATCGCAATAATCATCCAACTCTTCCTCAGTGAAATGTCAACTCTTCTCTGAACTTAATGTCTGGTTTCCAGATTTTTGGAGTTTGCATATATCAGTGCGCGAGAGCCGATTTTTCAAGCAGACACATTTTTGGCAGCTCACACTTTGTGGCTCAACTGCAAGCTAGCTTCCAGTGGGGTGCACTTGCCCCCATACTTTATTTGCTTTTACATACATTAAGGTTTTCTGGCATTGGGGAACTATGCTTAAGCATATCATGCTCCCAGGTAGAAGCCACTCTTCTGGAGGTTTAAATATATAATTTGGGCAGCCCAAAGCTAAAGGTTGGGGTGCACACCTTCAACTCAGTTCTTCATTCATTTATACATGTTTGGGCTGTTATCAGTATGCTCAACAGTGTTTGCTGCCCAACTAA